AGATCTGTACATTTTGTGGGGAGTCCACCTACAACCAAATAGAGAAAGAAACCAATTCCAAAGCACTAAAACAAAAGGGTATGAGATCAAGTGATGGTAACTTTCACCATTATCTTTATAAAGGATGCACTAATTCTGAAATAGACACCAATTAGGTCTTTTTCTTTGAAGCAAATCACAGGTGATGCAATTCTTTAGGAAAGCTTCCCAACAAAAAGCCCCAATCCTGGGAGGAATTGAAAAACCTCAAACTTCTTTAACTGGAAAAGATTGCATGGGGTCAGATGAGGGGTGCACTAACTCTCTGAAGGAAGAAGCACATTAAAAAATACACCCAAAGGAGAAAGAGTCCAAACCCAGTTATCCCTCCTAGAGGGATCCAGCACCACCCCTTCCAAAACTCTGGTCAAAGCAGATACACTGTTCAGTTCAGAATCTCTAAGTACCCTTCTAAGACCAGCCCAAGTTGGAATGAACCAGAAAGGTAGAGACAAACTCATTTTTAAACCTAGAAAGGGAATATACAGATGGAAACTGTTCTTTCAAAGGTAAATCCTCCACCCAAACATGTTCCCAGAATTTTACAAAATTACCAGAGCATGGACCGTACCTGATAAAAGAAAGGAAAGATGATAGAAAGGCATGGATAAACTTCCAAGGAAAAGCTCTTGTGGCCCTAGTTAATACTCCCGCATCTCATCCTTCAGTCGTTTGCCCATGAATACTCAGAATCACCCTAGTCCACAATTTATCCCTATCCACTAACATTCTCCATAACCATTTTCCCAACAAAACCTTGTTCTTCTGTAGGTTTCCTAATCCTAACCCACCAGCACTCTTATCCTTAGTAACCACCTCCCAACTAACTCTGTGATCTCCCCTCTCCTCCCCTAGTTCCCACAAAAAGAAAAAACCCTCATTAGCTTTTCCAAGCTCCTACACTCCTCAATTAGCCAGTGAAGATTTAATCAATGTAATTCTACACCCAAGGAAAGATAACCCTTCCATGAAGCTAGTCTCTTGGTGAATCTATCAACAACTAGATTCCAAAAGCTACTCTTATTTGGATTATCCCCTAGAGGAAGACCCAAATAACTCAATAGCCACTGAGAAACCATAGAACCCAACAAACCCTATCTTCAACTTCCCTATCACTTGTATTAACTCCAACCACACACCTTATCAAAATTGACTTTACGATTGGACATTTTTTCAAATAGATTAACCACCAGCTTCAAATTACTAACCTACCTGGCCTCATCTCCTTCACAGAACAAGATGGTATCATTTGCAAACTGTAAACGTGTAACTGGAACCCTATCCCTTCCCACTCTCCACCCTCTCACCAATTATCTAGAATCTGCCCTCTCAATTAATCTCCTCAAAACTTCAGCAATCAACATAAACAGAGTTGTGGCAAGTCTTAATACACCTCTTCACCCACTTACACCACCTCTCCCCAAACCCAAAAGAATCTAGCACTTCGATTAAAAAGACCAATCAACCAAATCATATTCCTTTTCAGGATCCGATTTGAAGACCAGTTCTTTTTCCCACTTCTCCTGAAGTCTTCCACACTTTCATTAGCAATTAAAATCTGGTCAACAATTTGTCTATTTTTCACAAAGGTGCCTTGATTTGGGGAGATGAGTGTAGGAAGCACCTCTCTAATTTTTCAGGAAGCACCTTAGCAATGATTTTATACACACTATTTACCAAGCTAATAGGACAAAACTCTCTAGGGTGACCGGTTACCACCTTCTTTGGGAATAAGGCAATAAAAGTAGAGTTCAAATCTGGATTAATCCCCTCTTTCAAAGAATTCAATAAAGACCTTTTGAATGTCATCCTAAAGAAAATCCCAACAGTCCTAGTAAAAAGCCATTGTAAACCCATCCGGACCCAATGCTTTAGATCTATCCATAGAGAAGATTGTTTCCCTAACTTCTTCCAATTCAAAACTCCTTTCCAACCAAACCTTCACATCTTCAAGTAACTTAGACCAATCCAAACCTTCTAACCTAATTCTGTTATTCAAGGGCATTCTATAAATAGATTTGAAGTGATCCACAAAGGCCCCTGCAATCTCATTCTACTGGGTTAAAGTTGTATCATTCACCACAAGCTTAGATATGTGATTCTTCTTCCTCCTTCCATTTGCCATAGCATGAAAGAATTTTGTATTCCTATCTCCTTCCTTAACCCACTTGTGCCTAGATTTCTGCCTCCAACAAACTTCTTCTTTGAAGAAGATATCTTCCAATGTCTTTCTCAACACCCATCTCATCTCGCTGTCCCTTTCCCCAAAATTTCCTTCTCCTTCCTTTGCATCCAAGATCTCAATTTGATTAATCACCTCTTGTTTTCTTTCTTCTATTCTCCCAAAATGTTGAATGTTCCATTCCTTGATTTTACCTATTAGCTCTTTCAACTTCCAATGAAATTCCAGCCTTCCCATTGTACCCTTGGGTTACTCTCGTTCAACCATTCTTTCACTTTCTCCCTAAACCCCAGATGAAGTAACCACATGTTTTCTCATCAAACTAATGATAACATGGGAATATCCTTCATTGGATGAGTGGTTAAGATTCTAGAGTTTGGGTTCTCAACCAATCAGGGTCCTCTTGCAAATCCTTTCTGAACTCCCTTGTCGCTACCTCCTCCTCTCCTTCTTTCCCTGTCAAGGAGGTCTGGTATCAGCCCATCACTCCTAAAGTCAGTGCTTTCTGTTGGAAAGTGTTCCATGGCTCCATTAACACTTGTGATTCACTTCAGAAAAAAAAAAAAAGACCAAAGTGGTGTTTGTCCCCAAATTGGTGCTCCTTATGTAAGCTACATGGTGAGATTGCCTTTCATCTTTTAATTTCATGTCCTTCTGCTAACTTCGTTTAGGAGTGGTTTTCCTCTCTATTTGGCTGCAGCTGGACTCCTCCTGTTAATTTGGATGGATTCTTTAGTTCTCATACTTTCTAGTGCTCTAAAATAAGAGGAAGAATCATGGGAAGGTGCACTAGAGCAGCAGTGGTCTGGACAATTTGGGAAGAAAGAAACCTAAGGATTTTTTATGACAAGAAAAGAAGCAAAGAAACTGTGATCGAAGTGGTAACTCTAAGGGTGGAAAATTGGGTGAAAACATTAAAATTGCTTGCTGACTTTAAGACAGAAGATTTTTTCAGATCTTGGGGAACAATTGCCAACACTGCTTCTAGAAAATCTAAAAAAAATGAGGTATGGTCCCCTATGGCTGGATGGAAGAAATTAAACTTTGATGGTAGCTGTATGGGAAATCCTGGCCCATCGGGTATTGGTGGGGTGAGAAGGGAAGAGAATGGGAATATTTTAGCCATGTACTCAGGTCCTATTCAGCATGGTGATGTAAGATCGGAACTGATGGCAGCAGTGTATGGTGTTGAAAAAGCCAAAGAAATGGAGATTAACAGGCTGATTATTGAAGGGGACTCAAAGATTGTTGTAAACTAGCTGAAAAAGGTGGAAGGAGTAATATGGAAGCTAAGAAATGAATTCAGGCGCTTCAAGCAGGTATCCAAAGACATGTTAATACAAATTAGATGGGTTAGGAGATCAGCAACAGTATGGCTGATGGACTAGTTAAACAAGGTATTCAAAGACAATCTATATTCTAGGCTGGTTTGTAATTAGTAGTTTTTTCTTTTGGGCCTCTCCTTCTGCCCACAATTTCTTGTTGTATATGCTTTTTTAATTTAATCAATTAATAAATTCTGAGTTGCTGATAAAAATAACACTTTCTCGTCAACCAAAAATAAACCCAATACTTAACCAAAGCTAAAGACCCAAGAAAATAGATCACCACACGGTTAAGAGACAAAAGGAGGCCAAAAAACTAGGTTGGCGGCAAAATAGAGGGAGAAGAAAATCTCCCAAAAATTGTTTAGGGCTTAGAAAATTGTGGGACCACTTCCCGTCATCCCCAAATTGTAAAATGACCTAAATGGTCTAGGTTTTGAAGAAACAGAACTCATTAAACATGTTGTATAAGGCTCGGCATCAGATTTGGAATTTCTGCGATTTTCTTCTTGAAAAATCCACTAAAAATCATAGAAACTTCAAACAGCGACAAGAGTCATTCAAAAAATCTTCTAAAATCAAGGTAAATCAAACCATGTAGGATTCATTGCCTGCCACCAACACCTGTACAGACTTCTGACGTCATCCGATGGCGGTCTGACATCAGCAGTTCCCAAGAGCCTTTACCCACTGTCCCACTCTAATACCTTGTAAATCTAGGGTTTATAGAAGAAGAAGAAGAAAAAGAAGAAGAAGAAGAAGAAGAATGTGTCAAAGAGGTGTGTTTTTGTATTTGTGTGTGTGTTCTACTGTTCACACCCTCAAAAATACTCTTTATATTTTGAAAGAAAAAATTACAAGAAAGCCCACACTTGGGCGCCCAAATACAAAAAAGATGAGGAAAAGACTAAAACACACTTGCCTAAACATTCTCAACATTTTTTTAATATAAAATCCATCTCATGCAAATAGCATTAGTTTAAACTCATCATTTAGTTGCTTCTGCTAGCAAGAAAGACCAAAAGAAATCATTATTTCACAAAGAATGTACCAAAACTTTGCCAGATGTAAATTGAAAGGGCATTTTTCTAAAGTCTTTTCCATCTAGGTTGGATTACTTTCAACTATTTACAAAAAGATAAGGTGGAAAATCATGCAATCAAATCATTCATGTGACTTATAAGTTATAATACCCCTTATAAGTTATAATACCCCTTAACAATGGGTATGACACTGAACAGAGCATAATGGTGGAACAGGATTCATGCAGGCTACCCAATAGTGGGGACAAAGTTTAGTTGAATTGAGCTGTATGAACCCCCACCCATATTCCATGCTATTAAGCATTTTGCATGAAGAGAGGCCAAAAATATTACCCTGCCTTAGTGCCCTTATGTATTTCAGAATTTCAGTGATAAATAAAGCATTTGACCATGAGATAAGATAATGAGTACCTTAAAGTCAGTCAAATCAGGAACAACATAATTTGGCAATTTTTCATTCATCACAACATATCCTCCTGCGCAAAAAATGTCATAGCATGTTATAAACAACATGACATTTCTTCTTCTAATACTCGCTAGATGTGGTGCATTGAAATCCTCTTGTGTGGGGCTCCCTTTTTTTACGACAAGAGTTAACTAGGAAAAGAATGAGAGTATATTAAACATGCCTTGGTAGAAATACCAAGCAAGAACAATATGCATGAACTTAGAACAGAAAAGGTTTACTATGCATAGAAAAAATGCAAAATATCCAATGAAGAGACAAGCTACCCAGCTTGTTTGCTGTTCCCAAACCCTTCCCCAGGATGGAGCCCCCAATAAAGCTCCATGCTCCCACCCCTCCCCTCACCAAGGATTTCATAAATTAGTTGGCTAATTGTTTGGGGTTCTCAACTAATAGGATAGGGTTTCTTTTGTATACTTGTATAGAACCCAATATTCTTCCGCTCGGTTTAACCCAATCACTTTCTTTGTATGTGTAACTTGGGGTTTTCTGTTTACCATTTGATGTTATTATCTTTTTTTCTAAGTAAACAAAAATGTTACTAATAAATAGATGGATAAAAAAAAGTCTGGCTAAACAAAGACTTTATGGTATACCACCCTTTAACCCAAAAGAGTGTGCTGGTAAAAAATAAATAAAATAAAAATATCTATGTTTCACTGAAATCACCAACAACCAAATCTCAATCCATTAAAAAAAATACTATCAATCTCCACGCATAGACACACCAAAAGCCTCTCGTGGATTTCAAAGGTTCTTTTGTTTCTTCTTTTCCTAGTTGCTAAACAAACAGCATAGGTCAAGAACTACCAGCAAACAAGAAACCTCACACATACATGCACAAAAGAAAGGGGGGGACCTCTACCAGCAGGGAACTAGTTCAGAGCAATTTTTAAAAGGTAAACAGGATGTCAGCTTGGAAAGCTGGGGTTGGGGATTTGGCAGTTCCTTCAAAACCACCAACAATCAGGGATCCAGTAAGCTATCTAGTAACTAGTTCACTGGTTTGACTGCCAGGATCATAGACAGGTGGAAAACACTGCTTCAGAGTCTCGTTTGCGATTGATATAAAAAGATTTATTGATGGTCAAAAGAAGATGGAAAAGAAATAAATAGAAGACAAAGCCATCATAACAAGATGGTCAAGAACCTGGGCCACCAAGATACCCAACAAGCTGAGTGGTAGCGAAGCCCCAATTATGCTTGCCTCTATCTATCCCACCCCTAGCCAAGCTGTCTGCTAGTAAGTTGCCTAAGCCCCAATAAAGCTCACTTTAGCATCCTGTATTATCTGTATTGAGAAATGACTGACTATAATCTAGATATAAGAACAAGTCAACAATCAAGAAAGTCACAAGTTTACCGCTAACAAGTCTTCCCACACTAAACCTTTACATGTTAAAAGAATATGGATTTAAACATGTTTTCCAATAAAAAATCTCAAAAGAAAACACTGATAGATGAGTTTGTAATATTGGTAAGGGACATGTTCAAACCTTTTCGAGTATGGAAACCAGTTGATTTGCAGTTCTTTCCCTTGTAGTAATCCCGTGGGCCCCGCTTTGAAGAGAGAATATCAAGGGATGATGTTCGTTTTCTTCTCATTGCCCTTCCCAATCCTAATATCAATCCCAATGGCATATCTGCCTCTTTAAGTCAAATGGGAGAATGTCTAAATCTTAAAAGAAAAAATGAAAAGGATCAGTAAGCCATATAAACATATTAGTTCCATCAAATTTTAAGGAAGAAAAATCTTTATGACAAGTATACAAGTGCATAAGATTAATAGAATAAAAATTCTTGTAGGGATACAAAAAGACAATAATGCTGGATACAATCAGCACCCAACACGGAATTGGAAAAATACTCTTGTCTACCACATTGGGATAAACTTATAATTTCTATTAGTAAAACTTTAAGGTGCCTATACACATGGATATCGAAGCTGGCAAGAACATAAAATTTCTATTAGTAAAATTTTAAGGTCCGGTCACCTCAGCTTGTTAATAGTATGGGTAAAGAAAATCAAAACTGGTAATGAGTTATGGATCTGTGCATGTCAAGTTGGCCCTCAAAGATTGACCCTCCAAAACTCTAAATAACTCAAGTCAAGTGGTGTTCCTCAACTTAAAATAAACATGCTTATTGAAGAAGACATCTTCCTTTGTTTTCTTTCTTTTTGTGGGATAGGAGGTGTGACTTTTTTTTTTTTTGATTGTTGATAGGAGGTATGATTTCATTTCTTTTCTCATTTTAATATTCTTTTGATGATCTTGTTAATAATACCAAAAGAAAAGTTAGACCTGTTAGTTCGACAATGCAATTCAAGAAACTTGCAAGAGACAAACCAAATAAGATAAAGGAAATAATGATACATTTCTTATGTGCCAAAGAAATATAATATTAAGGAAACAGATAAGGTTAAAAACAAGGAATTATGAAGGCATTCATGTAATTTCCATTGAACATGAGTTTCATGTTTTCATTAAATTGCGGGTCTTATCAGGTATATCTGTTTCCAGAGATAAATAGAGAACACGCAATGGAAAGTATCATGGGAAAGAAGAAACGGAGTTATTACAACCAGTAAACCGTAAACGCCTTCTCCGAGTGTATAGACTACAGAATCAGGGAAAAGAGAATCATATAGAGAAACAAAAAATAAACAAACAAACATGAAACAATTAAAACAAAAGAGAGAGAGAAGTCGAATCAAGCCCTAAAGGACTCACTGTTTTGCTCTGAGACTGAATCGTGACTTTCTTTCTTGGGCGTCTTTCTACTTCTCCTCGGTTGACATCCGGGAACAAAAGAAACTCTCCTGTTTATGATCGGTGCGAATCAAGGTCAGTGATTTAAAAGGAGCGGGCGCTCAGGAGAGGCGCATTTTAGGGTATGCACCTCGCCTACGGGCGGCAAATGGGTGGGTGCACCCATATTGATCCACTAACTCATTTACCAATTACCACCCAGCGTCAAAGAGTCAAAACCCTAACCCACCCATTTAACCCTTTAACTTAAATTAGATTTTTTTTAATTTCTCTCTGTTCTAATAATAAAACAAAAATGCATAAAAACACAAAAAGTGGTACAAGATATATATTTAGGATAAAATACAAAAATCACCGCTAAAGTTTCTAACAATCATAAAAACTTCCCCTATAGTTTCATTTTAGCAAAAACCTCTCCTTTATTTTTGAAAAATTAACAAATACCTCCATTCCGTCAATGACCAAGACGGAAAATGTTAAGAGATTATCATTTTTTTAAAATACCTATTTTACCCTTTCTCGAACACTATTTCTCTTCTTCCCCGTTCGAACCCAGAAGCAAAGGCAGCGGCGGCACCCCCTCTAAATCCGATCTCTTCCTCTTCTCTCATCTTCTTTGGCTTCTTGTTCTTCCCCCTTTTCCCTTTCTCTGTCCCATTTCTGTTGCAGCAGTGGATTCGAACTCAACGTCGATCTGCCTTCTCCCACCGTCTTTCTCCCCCTGTCTGTGCTCCCTCTCTTTCTTCTCCATCTCTTTTCTTTTTCTTGTTCCTCCTTCCCCTCCTTTCTTCTCCTTCCCCTGTCGGCATCCATTTTCGGATCACTTTCCATCACTGTTCTCTAATCATCACCAAGCTGGGTCCATCACATTTCTGTTTAGATTTCTGACTATCTCTCACCATTTTCAATTGCCCTTCTCATCCCCCATCATACATACCTCGTCTTTTAGTATCTTGGCTCCCCAGATCTATAACGCAACAGAGCCGGTCACTACAAGTTTCATTCAAAGTTGTTGCTCTCTCTCAACTTCAAGTGACATTCACATTGGAAAGATCTCCTTCTCTCGCCAATCTCCCATTTGTATCCTCTGAGAACCATTGCTATCTGAGATGGAAGTTAGCTCAAGCTCCCTATTGCAAAGTTAAGTTTCAGGCCAAAATCCCAGTCGATGATCAAGGTTGGTGCCGCCATGGCTGGAACCATTGTTGTTGACGCCATTCTTCTCCATCTACCGAACACACAACAATGCACCTCGGAGCGAATACAACATGTATTGCCTCGATTGCAGTTGTGACGCATTTTGCTTCTATTGTCGGGGGTCAAGGCACAAGGATCATCGAGTAATTCAGGTGGGTAGTAAACTCTTCTCCTTGTCTGTTTTTCTTTTGTTTCAGATTACCGAGCTCATTTCTTTAAGGGTGGAGTCCTGAGGAGATGATTGATTAGGGAGAGGAGGGATTTAATTGGGATTTAATTGACAGATAAGGCAATCATCTTATCATGATGTGGTGAGGGTGGCCGAAATTCAGAATGTTCTTGATATCAGTGGAGTTCAGATGTATGTGATCAAAAGTGCCATTGATGAAGATTGAAGAATGGGAAGGAATAGAGTGTCTGGTTTGGAAGCCTTAGACAGAGAAAGGAAGAAGAAAGGGAGAGCAAGAGGAGACATATAGATGCCATTGATGAAGATTGAAGAATGAGAAAGAGAGAGAGAGAGAGAGAGAGAGAGAATCAAAGGGAAATTAAAGAAGAGGGAAGGTTAGAGGGGGGGAGTGCACCGCCATTCTACCATTTTGCGTCGTGAGGAAGAAGATGAACAATGTTCTAGAAAGGGTAAAATAGGTATTTTGAGAAAAATGATCATTTCTTTAACGTTTTCCGTCTTGGTCATTGACAAAAGGGAGGTATTTGTTAATTTTGTCAAAAATAAAGGGGAGGTTTTTGCTAAAATGAAACTATAGGGGAGGTTTTTATGATTGTTAAAAACTTCAGGGCAGTTTTTGTATTTTACCCATATATTTAATGTAAAACACCAAAAATTGTAGAAAATACACGAAAATTCAGTAAAATGCAAAAATTTAAATGAAAATATATAATTCGAATAAACAACAAAATTTGTAAAAATATAAACAATTGTAAAAATTGCAAACAATAAAAAATTAGAAAATATAAATTGTAGAAAACAACAAAAATTATAAAAAAACACTAAAAATTATTAAAAAAACACAATGATCTGAATTATTGGCTTGAGTTACCTATGTAGATGATGTTAGACAATGTATGTCCTTAGCACTAATCAGATTGATGTGTATATACATTTATTGTAAATGAATAAAAGTACATTATTGTTTCATGTTGATATTGGTATGTTTCTATGAAATTACCCCTTAAATTGGACACTTATGAGACTTGTGTTAGTTTAGAATGTTCCCAGTCGTTGGATAGATTTTGGGAGTTTATCCTGACCAGGTTGACACTAATGTGTTGCCAAAGAAGTTGGATCATCTTGTCTCAGTTGCCAGGGTTAGACACAAAGCACATGTAGTGTGTGTTTGGATGAAACACTGAATTCGGACCATTTTTCAGTTATGCCTTAGACCTTGAAAATTAATGGGCAAAGCTGGAAAGTTACACATAACCCTTAGACTTAATTATGGTACTGCACTAGGTGCCGGATTGGGCTGTCTTTGATATGCTAATCAGTGAGATCCATTGAGGTCAAAACATGGGTATGTTGGGGCAGTCTAAGAGTTCACTTTAGTGGGTGATCATAGTGATAGGATCGGCCCCTTTGTCAGACAAAGTGAATGATAGGGATTGCACTCTCTTTGATGGAAACCTAAACTGCCAGTAGTAGGGTAGTGGATTTCAACTGTGTTTGAGATTTGGTATTACAAAATATATATTTATATGACATACACACACACACACACATATATATTATGTTTAAGAAAAAAATTTTGCAAAAGGTTTTAATTCCCGGGATCCATCTGAGCAAAGAGTGTGACACTGTACCTTGCAGCTAGGAGAGAGGTCTCTCCTTGGTGGGCAGTGTTGTGATCATTATGGATCGAGGGGTTAAGTTTAAGAGACCATTACAGGGTTGATTACCTTATGTTCTTTATTTTACTTAAGTCCATTATCCTTGAGTCTTCATAGGATGGTTGAATTCAATGACCATTTAAGTGTAAATGTTGAGCCCATATTGAACCCATAGTGATATGTTCAGGGGTCCACTACATTTAGCAGTGAATTTGGCTAAGCCTTTTCACAAAGGCATGAAAAGGCTGAACCGAACCCATGTGGACTTATGTGAGGTCATTGTGGGGTCCCACACACAAATAAGGCCTAAGTTGGCCATGCAACATCTTGCATCGTGAGCCTTTGAAGAAAATGGGCCTAAGGCCCACAATTAATAAGATTAAGTAAGTTGTCACATGACAATTTAAGTTGTCATGTGCTCTAGGTCAAATCTGGGTTTGGAAATGGGTATGGAGCACCCATCCTCTTGAGAGGATAAGACTTATCTTTTGATAGTGTCCAAATCCAAATTAGATTTGGATAATCTCATAATTTGATTGGGAGAGTGCTCCATAAGAAGATAAAAGAAGAAGAAGGCGAACCATACTAAAATACCACACTCTCTCTTGCTCTCTTTTATCTCTTAAGAAACCCTATCACGGCCTAGGCTTTCAAGGACTGATTGAGATCAGCTTTCTTCTAATTTTTGCAAGAAAAATTCAAAGGAATTTCAGGCCCACCTTCCTGAGTTTGATCCAAGCAGTTGGGTTGTAGTTTTGCTGAAAATTATGTTGCTAAATCAACTTCACCTATAAACTACGCCATTTTCAGTGGAGGTTGATTTTATGACTGATTTGGGTGTGAACTTCCACCTTGGGATCTGCATTTGTGGCATCCGTATAATGTACAAATCTCCTTCTTTGTTTGGTTTTAAATCTAGTCCGATTTAGTGCAAGATTGATCTTGAAAAATATAGTTTTTTCAAAACATAGGGAATTCAATTCTAAGAAGGATTATGAAATTTTTGAAAATTTGCCCAGCCATCTAGCATGGTTCAGCCATCTATATGATGAATCCTAACCCTTCCAACAGATGTGAGAGAGAGAGAGAGAGGTTAAAAGCTAAAGCAAGCAAAGAATTGTTCGATTTTCAAACCCTAAACATCACTGGTTCACTATACTAACCCTATGGGTACCCATAACCAACCTAACCCAACCCTTTTCTCCTGACCCAAATGGGTTACTCAGCCCATATTGATCCACATGATATATGGGTGGGTTGAGTGAGTCAAGTGGGTTGGGTAAAAAATTGCCACCCCTAACCCGGCCTAGGCCTAGGTGTAGCAATTTCAAAGGGCGTGTGCTTGGTGTGCCTTGTGCTTCAACCCACATGTGCAACCTTTTTATATTTTGTGCTTTTTGTTCTTTTTTGAACCCACTTGATGCCCTCAAAGGCAAGCCCAAACAACTCCATGTTAGGATTTTAAATTCATAATACTTGAAAAAAAATATAATCTTTATTTTACTAAAATGAATGATCGAACAACACTAGCAAATAAGGGGTATAGCTTATAGAATCAAGAATACAAAATGTTTTACATCACATTAGATATTTGGAGTAATGCAATTAAGGAAAAAAAGAAATTACGGGTTTTACATGCTTGAAAATGTTTTATATGTTAGATTTTATTTTTAAACTTTTATTTAAATATGCTTTACATGTTATGTTTATGTATTTTAATTTTAGACTAGGTTTTTTTTTAAACATTTATTTTAAAATTTAAGTTTATATTTTTGTTAATATTATGTTTAGATTTTGATTTTTTTGTATTTTTTCGCCTTGTTTCAAAAAGGTGTGCACCTCGCCTTGCACCTTGTGCCTCAAGCACAAATTGCCCCTTGTGCTTTTTTTAAAAGGCTAAAGATAGATGGTCAGGTCTTGGAGAGGCAGGGTGTAAGCTAGGCCTCAAGGTGGTTTGAGACGTAATAAATTAAAATTAAAACTATGAGCATAGTCCATAGAAAATAAAAACAGCAAAAGAAACAAATAACTAAAGTTTATGTAATTATGTCTAGCTTATTTAGTATATTAATGGTTAAATGACCAACAATAGTATATGTAAATATTGCCAAGCTT